TCTGCCACAATGAGCATTGTAATATAATGCATCAGTTTGTGGAATTAGTAGCTTACAAATGTAAATAAGAGATCAGAATTATGATGATGAACAAGTAAGTCAGACCCCCTTTCATTTTCGGTGGATCACAGATAGCTGGCATCAAGCAGGAGAAAAGCATTCACTCTCCAGTTCTCCAAATCTGGAATCCTCAATTTGGGGTTTCTGTTTGATATTTGGTTGTGAACTGCAAAATCGTCTAAAGACTTTGACTTTTTTCTTTATAACTTACCCTACCATATACACAATTGCTTTCTAGTTTCCTGTTATCATTTTTATATTTTAACTCTTTATAGAAGCTTAACAACTATTTTAATATACTTCGCAGTTTTCTCTGGAAATGAATCTTTAAACTTTATGGGTTTTGCCATTTTTTTCTCCAATGCATAGGACTACACTAAAAATAGAGGCCACATCAGCTTGGCCGACATATCTACAAATAAACTGGAGTCACTTTTAGTTAATTTGAGGTATAATCTAAAATTATTATGGATACTATGAGATCTTAGCAAAGTGTGTTCCTCTAGGTTTCCCTGACAATGTGGCCAAGTTGCGAAAACAAGGTAAAACAACTTCTAAACTACCATAGAAGACTGCTACCATACTAAAGACCACACCATCTTGGTCTTTATAATTTCAAGTATACTTTTTGTTGGGGTTTTTAGTAACTAAATCTTTATTCGAGTCAAATTGTGCCTTTCATTGGGATGGTCTCAGTTATGTTTCGAATGAAAGTTTTGTGAGATATGTAAAATTGTATTTTAATTTGTGGTGACTTTTTTTTGATAATTAATTCCTTTATTTGCTAATTTCTATTGGTTAATGGGCACAACGTTTTGGGATTTTATCCGATACGTGTAAGAGTACTATTGAATTTAGTAGTCGTTTTAAAATCACATAGTAAGATGAAGGTATTAAGTTTGTTTATTTTTGTTATAACTTTTTTAATGTTTGACGACTTTAACGTTAACTACAACTTTTGTTGACTAAATAGGTATGCTTCATTGGGGTGGAACCGTTTACATTTTGCATAAAAGTGTGTGTAAAAGGAATGACGAGACGAGAGGTTTGATCCTACCAGAAGAAGACGGAGTATTTCTCTCTCCAAAATGTCGGTGGTACTTTCTGGAAGATTCTTTCTGACTCTGTCGCCGAGGCAATCGCCTTCGATCCCGGTGAAATGATGCGAAGCTTTCGTCCGTCAACTGACAGATATCATCAAAGAAGTGACATTCCTTCAACACTATCCAAGCCAACAGATCTAAAGGAATCAGCTGTCGTCTTTTGGTGGGCACGACTTGCACCACACACTTAGACTTGAAATGAAAGTGAGCTTAACAATTGTAAAAGCGAATTCGTGCTTTGTTTGTCAACGAAAAGTGAACACTACTCGCGATATTAATCAAGCTACTTTAAAGATTTAAAATAGAAAAATAGGAAAATAAAGGCAATTGTGAATATGGTAGGGTAATCGTTAGATCATACTGTAGCCCCAAATTCAGGATTAAAGTGTGTAATTAGTTGAGAAATGGAAAGCGGAAAAGTGAATGATCTTTGTCTGCTTGACGCCAGATACCTGTGGTTCACCAAAAATGCATAAGGGTCTGATGTATGAATGAGAAAATGTAAGGGTTGCGCGAAGCATAAGAAAACATTAGTTCTTTGTAACCAAGTAACGTAAATCTTATAATCGTTGTTTGACCTTTCTTTCGCAACTTGGTCGTATTGCCAAGTAGACCTTGAGGAATGCACCTTGTACGTTTCGCAAGCAACATCGGATTTGTCTCTTCCGCGAGTGTTATATGGTGCTAAGGATGTCAGTGCTCGTTGGCGATGCCAGCGAAGCTTCTGGAATGTATCAAATTCCAGATCTGACTGAAAATTATCATGCATTTTATGGACTCCTTACAAAGTGTGTTCCTCTGTGTTGCCCTACAACACGAGCCAGTTGATTTGACGAATTCAGGCTATTTCCATACAAAAAATATAATGATTATTACAAATACAAATGTTTCATTCGAATTGGAGGAGAGCAAACCAAATTTTTGCTGCTTTTGCCGACAAAACGTAAACGCTACTCATGAGTAGTGTCCCAAATCACAAAATATTATCAGTTCATCTGCAATTTCGGTGGGTGTTTCGTCTAAACACCCACCATCCCTTGAGCTACCAATGCCAAATCATGTTACGCCAATGTAACATGGTACCATCTAGGTTAGAATCTGGGCTGCTGGACAACTTCGCGAGAAGTTGGTTTGGTTGAAGGAAACCGGGCCTTGATCTGGCCGCAATATGCAAATCTCGGCTGGGTGACATTTTGAGTGGACGCCCCCACTCGAGGCCCACCTGTAGCATGGAGCCGACGTTGCCAGGCTTCTGTGCCTGGGCCAGATGACTGAGGCGTGTCGTGATGGAGCTGGTCGTGAAGGGACCGATTGATGCTGGCACCGCGATTGTGGCCAACGACGGGAGGCTGGTCGAGGTCGTGTGAGTGGAGGAGTGCGGAGACAAGACGAACGACCGGCCGCCGGGTCCACGTGGCGAGTTCTGACTGGCGGCGATGAGTGGCTCTCCGAGGGTCATGGCGCCCAATTGAATCGGACTGCCAGTCAACGAGGCGCTTGAGTGCAGCAGGCCTGAGTGCTCCAGACCCTCCGTGCTGCCACGGCGATTGGCGGCGAGAGGTAGAGAGACAGACAGACAGACAGAAAGTCGGGGGAGTAAGGGTTGTGAGGAGGCAAAACGGTGAGCGCAATCTGCCAAATTGTGGTTGGCAAAACAAACTAGAGCCAACATCAAATGGACATGAAGATAAAGTGGTTTCAAGAAATATTTTGCCCGATCAGTGTTTTGACTGTACCATCATTTGGAGGGAAACATTGCGATGAAGAAGATCAGAGTAGTTCGGCGCGGCGCGTTCTATACCATTCCCTTTTCTATCCTGTCTGTGTGTATGTCTGTCTGTATATATATATATATATAT